AAAACTGAACTTTGCCTCAAATATTTACTTGGACTTGTTTATCCGTTGTAAGTTGCTGGAATGCCAAACATGCCCAAACTGTTGTGACTGATTGCATGAAGATTTTCTGTTCTCAGTTATATCCTCTGATGTTTTTGGATATAATATTTTTCATTAAGGCATCTCCCACTCATCTATACAATCACTCAGATTGCTTCTATGAAGGGATATGCTGAGCCAGGGACACAATCAACATTTCCCAGGGTAATCAGTGATTTCAAAGCAGTGATAGGGAAAAGGGAAAGGACATGAAAAGACAGAGAGACAATAACTAGAACCAAGTAAGAAAGCAGAGGATCATAGAAATATAGCCATAAGGGTCCTCAGGGGCCATCAAGGCCAACCCCCTCAGGTTTTTTTTTTTAGTTTTATTATTTTTATTTTTCTAAGAACAAGTATTTTTCATTAGTCTGCTCCTTCTACCAACCTTTTTCCCCATTGAGCAAATGTTAAAAAAAAATTTCTGCATACATATTTACATAGTCTGGTGAAACAAATACCCTCATTAGCCATGTCTGAGAATGTTATGTCTCTTCCTTCATATTAAGTTCATTATCTCTCCATCTGGAGACGATTGGCATGTTTTATCTTCATTCTTTCTGTCTTTCTTCCTGTCATCCTACCTGTACTTCTCAGATCCATTTCCTAGATCTTGATCCCCTCATTTTACAGATGAAGAAGTTGAAGCCCAGGGAAGTTCACTGAATTGCCTCAGGTCATACGGGTAAGTAAACGTCAAAGGTGTGATTTGAATCAGGTCCTCTGACTTCATAGCCAGGCAGCAGTCTAAGAAAAGAAATATATATTTATATTGTGCCAGGCACTGTGCTAAGAGCTTTTTACAAATATTATCTTATTTGATCCTCACAACTTTGGGAGGTAGATGCTGTTATTATCCCCTTTTTAGAGTTGGGGAAACCAGAGGTTTAGTGACCTCCCCAGAGTCACACAGCTAGTAAGTATCTGAGGCTGGATTTAAAATCAGGTCTTCATGACCAGACCAGCACTCTAGTAACCACCAGCAGCAGCCTGTAGTGGAGGTACCACATATTGGCTGAGAATATTTACTTAATTGGCTTGATATAGGTTTTTGAACCAGGAGGAAGGAAAACTGAATTCTTCATTGGGGAGGGGGCATCTGAGCTGTACTTTGAAAGATAGAAAGGATTTCAATAGCTGGAGATGGAGGTGTGCAATACAGGTCATCTCAGCCAACATCTTTGGACTGACTTGGATTTTCGAAGACTTTCAGTAACAGCGAACTTGATAATTATAGCTCACTTTTTTCTTTTTTTTTTTTTTTGGTGAGGCAATTGGAGTTAAGTGACTTGCTCAGAGTCACACACAGCTAGTAAGTGTTACGTATCTGAGTCCGGATTTGAACTCAGGTCCTCCTGACTCCAGGGCTGGTGCCACCTAGCTGCCCCATGTAGTTCACTTTCACGTATCACTGTGTAGCTGAAAAAATGCTTTCCTCACATCAATTCTGTAAAGGAGATAGGGTGTGTCTCTTTTTAAAATGAGGAAAATGAGATGGAGAGTTCAAACTGTTTGTCCAAGGTCACAGATTGAAAAGGCTGAGATATCTTCACATCCCCTCCGTACTCTTCCCATCACACTGTGTTTCCTTTTATCTTCAATTTAATTCAATTCAACAAACATTTATAAAATACCTACTATGCATGGGGCGTTGCAATCAATGCCAGGTAGATGAAGATAAAAAATTATATGATTCATGCCCTTAGAGAACTTACTGTTTTGCAGAGGGATAAAACTTTCTTCAATACTTTTTTAAATTTGTAGAGGGAAGCTAGCAATAGGGTTGCTCCGAAGAAGAAGAAGAAGAAGAAGAAGAAGAAGAAGAAGAAGAAGAAGAAGAAGAAGAAGAAGAAGAAGAAGAAGAAGAAGAAGAGAAAGCAAAGAGGGTCATTGACTGCTTCTGTTCCACCCATTCTAGGATGGAAGGAAGTTCAGAAGGGAACAAACAGGACAGCTTTTAAAATAGCATGTTGAATTTACTCTGTCCTTTTAAAAAAGCAATCTGTACATAAAAGACTGTTGGTGTTACATATATTCGTTGGTGTTTGGTTCTACTTAGTAAATGGAAATTTTTTTTGTTGGTTTTTGTTCAATTTAGAATAAAAAAAGAAAAGAATTAATAGAATTCACTTGAATTTCAGGAGTGCAATTAGTAGCCTACAAATATAGCAGATGTGGGATGAACATGGTGAATAATGGAGGGTTAAGAGGTGATGCTATCTGATGGTTTGTTTTATACCAAATAAAATTGGAAGTATAAAGCATATGAATGTGCCTCACTCTGCTCAAAAGATGTGCCTTTAAAAATCATGTGTATATTAATTCTGAGTTCAATTTCAAATCTCATTTTCAACACAATGCAGAGCTTTTTATTTAAATGAACCACTGAAAGGAATACTTTTGTAATGCAAATAATGCCCTCCTTGTGTTTCATATTTTGGAATATCTGGGTTTTTTTTTTTCCAAAGCAGGGATCCAATAAAATGCAAATTTAATAGCTGACTGACCTTTAAATCTGGTTTTGTTTGTGGCTTAAAAATGCAGTTTCATTGAAATTTTGCAGTTTCTAACATCCTATGATTTAAAATTCCTTTTCAGGCTCAATTCAGAAGGGATTTGGCACATTTAGATTGCTGAGATAAAAAAGTGGGAGAGCTAGACAGCAGCTATCACCCAGTTGGGTTCAGTCTTTGTATTTATTTCTTCAAATTATATTATCCCTCTTCCAAGCTGTAGTGAAATCTCCTTTTTTACAAACTTTTAAAGTTCCTATAGTTTCCAGGATATCCTGTTTGTTCCCTCAGCTGAAAATGGTATGAGAAATCCTTTCCTGGTGTATCTCTTCCCTTTTAATGTAGTTTCAGCTAGTACCCAGCAGTGAAGCGCCTGCACCATCTACTGAAAAGGAAAGCTTAAGCAAAGTATTCTTGAAATCGAAACCAACTTGTAGAGAGCCAGGCAGAGAACAGCTGCTTTCCTTGGTGTCTTTGCTGGGATGGGCCGAAACAATAAACATTTATGTATGTGTCTATTGTGTGCCAGGCATTGTGCTAGGAGCTGGAGACACAAAGACAAAAATGAGACAATTCCTGCCCCTGAGGAGCTTACCTTCTAATGGGGGAAGGGTGACAACAAATACATATACAAGTATTTAGAGAATAAGGACAAAATAAAGACCGGTCACTAGGTGGCACAGTGGATAGAGTGCTGGGCTGAGAATCAGGAAGGCTTGTTTTCATGAGTTCAAATCCGGCCTCAGACATTTACTAGCTGTGTGATCCTGGCTAAGTCACTTAACCTTTTTGCCTCAGTTCCTCACCTGTAAAACAAGCTGGAGAAGGAAATGCCAAACCATTCCAGTATCTTTGCCAAAATAAATAAAATTTTAAAAGCCCCAAATGAGGTCACAAAGAGTCAGACACAACTGAAATGACCAAACAACAGCTACAAAGATAAGTTCTTTGAGGGAGTGAGGATCTAGCTATCGGGTAGATCAGAAAAGGCTTAATGTAGACACCAGCTCCACAGCTAAGTCACAAAGGCAATAAGGAATCCTATGCGGTGGAGATAAGGAGGAAGTACATTACAGGAGTGCAGGACAGCAGGTGCAAAGACATGGTAATGGAAAGACGGCATCTCCTACGTAAGGGCCAGCAAGAGGGACAGTTTGGCTGGAAAGCAGCATATGCAAAGGAGAATGATCAGTATAATGAGACAGAGGAAAGTAGGCTAGAGTCAAATTGTAAGGAGCATTAGAAATCATGCTGAAGAATTTAGAGTTTATAATTTATCCTAGAGGCAATAGGGAGCCACTATAGTTTATTAACTAGGGGAGAGACAAGGTCTGATCGGCATTAAAGGAAAATCACTTTGGCAGCTATGTGGAGATGGATTACAATGGGTAGAGATTTGAGTCAAGGAGGCCAGTTGGAAGACCGTTGTAGTAGTCCAGGTGAGGGATGATGAAATAAGGTGGCAATTGTATGAGTAGCAACTGGCATTATGGAGATTGAAATGAAAAAATTTGGCAACTAATATTGAGGAGCTGAGAATAATGAAGAAAAGTTAAACCTGGGAGTCTAGGAGGATAGTGATGCCCTTGACAGAAATAGGGAAATTTGGACAGTGAGTGTGTTGAGAGGGGAAAGGGTAATAATGAGTGCAATTGTTGATATGTTGACTTTGAGGTGTCTATGCTGTATATAATTTGAAATATTAAATAGGTAGTTAATGGTGCAGGACTAGAGCTCAGAAGAGAGGCTGGGCCTGCGTGTGTGTGTGTGTGTGTGTGTGTGTGTAGGAATCATTTGTATAGAGAAGTATAGTTAAATCCATAGGAGGGAATAGGTTCACCAAGTAAAAGTGTAGCAAGTATGGGTCAAAGGCAGGACTTAAATCCATGTCTTCATAGATCCAAGGCTGCTCAGTTCTCTATCCATTATACCATACTACCTCTGAGTTGAATAAACATTTATTAAGAAATCAGTGGTCCTACAGCCTGACAATCTGGGTTCAAATGCCAGTTCTGCCATAAATGGGGACAATGATGTTTGTACCACTCACTTCCCAGGATACTTTTGAGGAGCAAAGATCACTTAACCTAAAATATTTAGTAACCAGGAAAAGCTATAAAAGTATAAGCTACTATTACTTTCTATAGCTTCTTGCCTCCACAGGTTTGGTAAACAACCACCCCACGCACACACATACACACACTCGCCCTTGAAAACAGCTGCCTCACCAACACTTTTGTACCTTCTTCTGTTAAAATACTTACTTGAGGGGCAGCTAGGTGGCGCAGTAAAGTCAGGAGGACCTGAGTTCAAATATGACCTCAGACCAAACACTTGACACTAACTGTGTGACCCTGGGCAAGTTACTTAACCCCAATTGCCTAAAAAAAAACAAAATAAAATACTTACTTGAGTTTCTCCCAGGTCTCTTCACCAAATTTCTCAATCACGAGAGATTGCAGACAGGTGTTGATAAACCCATACTAGAAGAGAAACCAAGAAAAGGATGTATAATGAGGCACGAAAAACCATTTATAGACAACTTAATGGTTTCTCTTAGGGAAAGTGAAATGACATCCACTTTGGGAAACTAATTATACCTTTTCCTTTTTTCCAGTGAGTTTATTTGTTTAATAGCTGTCCTGGGACCCAGCTTCATGCAGACCTTGCAGCCCATGAGTAGTTTTGTTTCCATAGAGAATTTAGATTAACTAAATTTGAAACCAAATTATAATTAGAGAAGGGTAGGAAAAGGCATTCTGTGCTGATTAGATTTCTCTTGGAAATGGTAGTACTGGCCTGGTTTGAACAGTAAGTCCAAACTAGTTGGAGGAGAAGGTGAGGTGGGCATATGCATATGCGTTTAGGTGATCTAAGAAGCAGAGAGAAAACAAACATTTGCCCTTTTAAAAATTGAATGATGGTTTGGGGAGAGAGGGAGCAAACAGTAGAAAGGAGAACAAAGCAGAGCACCAGGGCCGGTTCAAAGAGGGCTCTTATTTGCCAGGTTTGCTTTTGAATCAGGATCACCTTTCATATTTTTTTTCATTTTTATGCCTCTGCTGCTACATCAGGGGAAAAAAAATAAAGACAGCATAGTCAGATGCTATGAGCATTTGGCAGATGTACCTCACTTTTCATAGGCATTCCTAAATGTGCAGAAATAGAATTTTGGTAAATCAAACTCTACAGTATTTTAAATAAGCATTGGGAACTTATCACAGGATCTGAGGTTTTGGGCTAGAAGGGATCTTAGAGGACATGAGTTCAACCTCATTCATTTTACAAATAAGGAAACTTAGGTCTAAGAAAGTTAAGTAACTTGACCAGGGTCACACAACCAGTAAGTGGTAGAGGTGGGATATGAATCCAAGTCTTCCTAACTCTCCCTCTCGCCTCTTTAGCCACTACTCCATACTACTTGGTATTTTCAAACACTTTTCCCTTCCCTCACCTCTTCTCCTCCCCACAAACGAATACTTTCAACAAAGGAAGAATATTTTTGTCATGTAAAAAATGCCATGTAATTTATCTGTTTTGTAAGGTTGAATTTTTCTATATGGATAGTTGTTTAAGGAGGATACACTTGTATTCAAGGAAGAGAGAAGAGCACTCTGAATTAAACATTTTGTGGGGTAAAAATTTTGCTAACTTTCCCATTCATCCTCCACTTGCACTCCCACGTCCCCTTCATCCATTCCACAGCAGTTAGTATTCCTGGTTGCATAGGCACAACAACTCTGTGAAGAACAAAGATACAACACCTGGTTTTTCCACCATCAAGAATTGGACACAGGTGGGGCAGCTAGGTGGGGCAGTAGATAGACCACTGACCTTGAAGTCAGGAGGACCTGAGTTCAAATCTGCTCTCAGACCAAACACCTGACACTCCTGTGTGACCCTGGGCAAGTCACTTAACCCCAATCGCCTAAAATTAAAAAAAAATTGGGCATAGAGGCAGCTTAGGTGTTGCACAGGATACAGCACCAGTCCTGGAGTCAAGAGGGCCTGAGTTCAATCCAGCCTTAGACACTTACTAGTTGTGTGACCCTGAGCAAATCACTGAAACCCAATTGCCTCAAAAAAATTGTACACAGGATTTGACAAAAGACGTTCTTTTTGAAAAGCCTCATTAAGGCATAGCCAGGTGGCACAGTGGATAGAGCACCGGCCCTGGAGTCAGGAGGACCTGAGTTCAAATCTGGTCTCAGACACTTCACTAGCAGCAGGATCCTAAGCAAGTCATTAACCCCTGATTGGCCCTCAGAAAAGAAAAGAAGATAAGAAAGGCCTCATTAGAAGTATACTTTCTTGAAATATGAAAGATGTTGACATGGACCCATTCCTGTGCATCTCACTCCCATGGCTAGGCTCTGGGGTCTCTCCTTCAGTTGTGAAGAATGCTGAGGGCTAGGGGCAGCTAGGTGGTGCAGTGGATAGAGCACTGGCCCTGAGGTCAGGAGGACTTGAGTTCAAATCCAGCCTCAGACCAAACACTTGACACTTACTAGCTGTGTGACCCTGGGTAAGTCACTTAAACCCAATTGCCTTAAAAAAAAAAAAAGAATGCTGAGGGCTCAGATACCTGACACCAGCTAGGGTATTGTCGTCAACATCCCCAGAATTGTTGTCATTTCCTTTTAGGAGTCACACTAGCACCCAGTGCCTCAACTCAAAGAACCAGGAGAGGGGTTCTTCACCTTGACCCAGTCAGTTCCCATTCTCTCTGTCGGCTCAGTCGTGGCTCACCCTAGGGCCAAATCCAACACTCCCTTCTCTTCATCCCCATGGAGCCAAATGACTCCTTGCATTCATCAACACCTTTTCAGCTTCCACAGTTATGGCCATGCCAGTGTCTATTCGAATTTGTGTAGTGGTCTGAGGATGGCTTCAGACTTGAAAAGCCTTGGTCCAAGTCCTCTCTCTCTGACTCAAAACTGGCTGTGGGATCATGGGCACATCATTTAACCACCCCCTCAGTGCACCAGACAACCCTCTAAGACTATGATTTACAGATAAATTTCTCATCTCCAACGGTGGGGGGAGAAGGAAACCTTCCATACTAGAGTTCCCCATAGGTAAGAATGAAATCATAGGTCCAAATCCCACCCCTCTCTCCCCTCAAAATGTATCAAGCTTTGGAAGGAACACAAAGATGAATGAAACATTGCCCTTGCCTTCAAGGAAGTTGCCCAGTAGCTGGAGACATTTAACACATGCAAAAAATCCATAAAATATAGGGGTTGTATTACTCTGTATGTTCCTCAGTGAATGGAGAGAAGTATTATGGGAGTTCAGAGAAAGAGACATCCTCTCTGGAAAGTAGAAATCAGGAGAGGCTTCAAGGAGGAAGTGGTGTTTACTCTAAGATTTGAAGAATGATTGGAGTGTTAATCATTGAAAATGGCTTGTGAGTGGGGAGCTTAGAAGAGAGAGGATCAGGAAGAAGGAATGGTGTAAGCAAGAGCCCCTAGACAAGTTGTGTTCTGGCAATGACTAGTGGGTCAGGTGGACTGAACTACACACCATGGAGTATTGTGGATATGGGAATAACATAAGATAAAACTGGAAAGGCAAATTGGGGTTAAGTCATGGGAGGCCTTATTCTGCAGGCAATGGAGAACTATTGAAATTGTTTGAAAAGTGGGATGTCATGATCAGATTCATATATTTGGAAAATTAATCCGATGACAATGTTAGATGGATTGAGGGGAATGGGTGGGAAGAAGAAAGAATATTCTGAAGGAGTGCAATTAGGTGCTAATACAATATTCAGAGAGAAGGTGAAATAGGCATGGTCTAGGGTGGTAGTTGTTAGAAAGGAAGCAATCCATAGATACTGTAGATACAGAATGAACAAGATGGATTTGGAGAATAACAGCATAATAGTAACAGCAAAAAAATAATAACTTACATATTGTGCTACATACATTTTTTTTCTTTTGTGGTATTCAACTCTGAGGCAGGGACTACAGATGTTTCTATCCCCATTTTAAAGATGAGAAAATGGAGCCTCATAAAGATTTGCCCACTGTCATACAGCTGGTGAGTTATCAACAAGAATTTATTAAGCACCTATGTGCCAAGCACTGTGCTAATCTGGGGATACAAAAAAAAAGGCAAAACTAGTCCTGCCCTCCAGGAGCTCACAGTCTAATGAGGGGAGACAACATGCAAACAACTATATATGAGCAAGATGCATACAAGATAAATTGGAGATAATCTCAGAGGGAAGACACCAATATTAAGGAGGATCCAGAAATACTTCTCGCAGAAGGTGGGGTTTTAGCAAAGAATTGAAGGAAACCAGGAAGTAGAGACGGATAAGAGAGAGTATTCCAGGCATCGAGGATGACCATTGAAAATGCACAGAGCTGGGAGGTGGTAGATGGTTTTTCCATTAACATTAAGAAGCCAGTTGCTGGACCATAGGGATATGGGCAGCTAGGTGGTGCCATAATGTGTAGAGTGCTGGGTCTAGGGTCAGGAAGACCCATCTTTGTGAGTTCAAATCTAGCCTCAGACACTTACTAGCTGTGTGACTTTGGGCAAGTCATTGAACCCTGTTTGTCTCTGTTTCCTCATCTGTAAAATGAGCTGGAGAAGCAAATGGCAAACTACTCCAGTATCTCTGCCAAGAAAACTCCAAATGGGGTCAACGGAGAGTCAGACATGACTGAAAAAGACTGAACAAGGTCTAAGTAAGGTATAAGAAGACTGGAAAGATAGGAAGGGGCTTTAAAAGCCAGACTGATCCTAGAGGTAGTAAGGAGCCACTGAACTATATTAAATATAGTAATATTTAATTACTTTGCTCTTTGTTCTAAGCCCTTCCTGGTGTCACTATGTCAATATAATTGGTTTCCTTTATCCTAAGGGATTTTATTTTATACATGTAAGAACCATATTCTAGGAAGAAGTCCATAGGCTTCACCAGACTACTAATGACAGAGGGGTGGTGGAGGTGGGGGGGCAGAGGGGATTAAATATGAGAGGTGGGCTATGAACCCAGTTCTTCTTGACACCAGATTCAGTGTTCTACCCACTAAGCCACACTGACTCTAAAAGGGGCTGAATGTAAGGCGGAGGGAGGAGTTGAAGATATCTGACATTTTTTCAACTGAGTAACCTCCAAACTGAGTAGCTACTATCCAGAAAATAGGACGTTCAAGAAATTTAGAGTTTTTAGCCGAAAAGGTATTGGAACATGGTGAGGAAGGGGAGGGAAAGAGATTTATTTGCAATTTACAGACTCAGAGAGTTGTCACACTGAGAGCTTAAGTGATTTAGTATCATAGAATTGTAGGAAGGGACCTGAGAGGTGATGAAGTCTAACTCTCTCATTTAATGGATGAGAAACTGAGGGCCAGAAAGGATAAGTGATTTGCCCAGAGCTACATAGCTAGTGTTGGAGGTAGAATTTGAATCCAGATGTTTCTGTCTCTGAGTTTAGCCCTCTATCCACTATACCATTCCCAAGATTCTTTGTCCAGATTAGAAGGTAGTATGGATCAGATACCTGACCGCCGATCCTGGACCCTGTTCCAAAGCCTGTCCTCTCTCCACTACTCCAGGTCATATCTCTGAAAGGGGCCAAAAGAGGTATCATAAGGAGTGACAGAACCATCAGTCTCTCAGGCCCTGAACTTTGCAGATGTTTCCTGGGTAATAGTTTTTCCTTGACTTTAAAAGTCCTTTTCCCCCAGAAACCAGGAAGTTGCCTACAAGACACTTCAATTTTTCAAAGTAAAATCAAGTCAGCAAGTATTTATTAAGTAAGCAATCAATCAATAAACATTTATTAAGCACCCCCTATGTGCCAGGTACCTTGCTAAGAGCTGGAAAGCCTCTACTGTCTTCCAGGCATGGTGCTGAACCATGCATAATATAATTATAAATTTTACATATATATATATATATATATATATATATATATATACATACATATATAGTGTAACTTATAAAATACATAGTTTATACATATATAATATATGAATAAGACACAGAATAAATAAAAAATTTCAATGTTTGGGTGAAACTTAAACTAAACAAAAGGCATTCTCCCCTTTAGCCCACCCTCACTTCTCCCTAAGCCCCTTACAACACCACAGATTCTAATAAATTCCACACTCTACCTTCCTACTGGAAAATGTCTCTAGAATTCAGAGATTCTTAACCTTTCTCGTGTCATTTCTTCCCCCCCCCCGCCCCACTGCCCCCTCCAATAGTAGGCCGGTGAAGCCTGTGGACTTCTTAGAATATGGTTCTTAAATATATAAAATAAAATCCCTTAGGATTAAGGAAACCAATTAATATGAAAAAGAAAAGAAACATATCAAAAAAAAAGAAATATGTATGTATATCTGTATATACGGATACATACATATGTGTGTCTATACACATATGCATATACACATACAATATATAAATGCATGCATGCACTTATTTATGCATATATACATACACACATACATACATATATTCAAGGCCCCCAGGCTAAGGATCCTGCAGTCTAGAGAACTTAGTGCTACCCCATCTGAGGAAGAAGCCTGAGGGAAAGAGCAGACTAGAAGAGCTGATTACCATGGTGGCTGTTGCTCTCGCTGCTGCTGCTGCCAGTTCTCACTGCTCACTACTTGGGCACAAAATGATAGATTTTCCTCATCCTCCTCCGACATTTAGCATCCCACCCATGAGAATCTTTTCCAACGCCTCAACTCCAGATGCCTAATGCCTATCAAGGGAAAATGGCCACACTCCATAGGGAAATTAGACACAGATCACTTTGTCGTACCCAACCTCTCTCCACGTGAAGGCCAACTCAGCACTTCTCAACCACCCAGAGGAACACTGGGAGGTCAAAAGGGCTTTGCTTATGAGGGGGTGAAAATGAGTGGGACTTATTGCATAATTAGCCCGAAGGGGCTGCTTTCTTGGTAGCTAAGACTCATGAGAGTTTCAGGTTGAAACCTGAAGAATCACTCCTTGGGGTAAACCCAAGTGGCAAAGCTTTTAATAGGCTTCATTCTCCCCACACAGACCCTCCCTCTAACAACTCTGGCTGAAAACAAATTGGAAGCAAGGCTTATATCCATGAAAAAAGGGATAAGTATGCTTTGTGATTATGGGGGGAGCCTGTAGTAATCAAGAGGTAGAAGGGAAATTAAAGGTCATCTAGTCCAATCCCTTCATTTTACAAATAAGGAAACAAAAGCCAGGTTTCCTTCCTCAAGGGTGCACAAAGCAGGGATTAGAATCCAGGACCAGATCCAAGCCTCTTTCCTCTAAACCTCAAGTACCTCCTTGTCAAGGCAACCCTACGTGCATGGTGCACTGGCCACTCTTAATAAGGCCAGTTAGATAGATGTAGCCCTTGTCCTTTCAAGATTTAGAATCTCTCCTCTCAATCTCTTTACATGTGAAGGACTCTGGGATTTACTTGGATCTCTCCTGACTGGGAGCTCCCTAGGTCAACCGCCATTCGGCTTGTGTGTAATGGTATAAAAATCCTAGTTGTTGCATGAGGCACATAGAGGTTAAATAGCTTTGCCCAAAGCCAGACAAGCTGGTGTCAGAGGCAGGATGTGAACTCATTTCTTCTTGACTCAAAATCTAACACTCTATCATATTGCCAAATTTTATAGCACTAGTTAATTCATCTGGGCAAGTCACTTAATCTGTTTGCCTCAGTTTCCTCATCTATAAAATGAGCTGAAGAGGGAAATAGCAAACCACTCCAGTGTCTTTGCCAAGAAAACCCCAAATGGGGTCACAGAGAATCAAACACAAGTGAAATGACTCAACAAAAAAGGAAGAAGGAATGGTGTCAGGTGAGGATAATAATCATTCTGTGATCATAGAATGCTAAAGCCAGAAGGGCTCTTGGGGTTCCACCCCCTTCATGTATCAGAGGACCAGAAAAATGAGGTCATTTATCCAAGGTTCCACACTGCTGCTGTTGTTTAGTTGTTTTCAGTTGTGGCCCCATTTGGGGTTTTCTTGGCAAAGATACTGGAGTGTTCATTTCCTTCTCCTGCTCATTTTCCAGATGAGGGAACTGAGGCAACCAGGGTGAAGTGACTTGCCCAGGGTCACACAGCTAGGAAGTGTCTGAGACTGGATTTGAACTCGGGGAGATGAGTCTTCCTGACTCCAGGGCCGTCAAGTCCAGGTTGTTGATTCTCAGTGTGTAGTGTCCCCACAAGCAATTATTAATTATCTTAGTTATTCCCCTCCATTTAAACCTGAGTCTAGAGGACCTAAACCCGGGGGTGTAAGTGCTGTGGGTTCATTTAGCAGCTGTTTTTGTGCACTCACTCTTTGCAAGGCATTTTATGAAATGCAGAGATAGAAGACCCTTCCATCAAAGAGTTCACAATCTTGTGAGTGAATGTTAGTTCACTTACTTACTAGTAGTAAAGGTAATTGATGTCTACCATGTAGAGATGCCTCGGTTGAGACTACCATATAATGAATATGGAGATCCCCATCTTAGAGAGAAGGAAAAAACAAAACAAAACAAAGTCTGGATTGGTCATTATGTAATATTTCTCATACTTCAAGAGTTAAACTCCCATGCAGGGAACCCAAGAAGACTCTTGCCTCATAATGAATCCTACTTTCTAGTCTTATCAAGTGGTCTCTCTTGTCCATAATGTCTTTCATTAACCCATTTTAAGGGTGGACACTAGTGGGTTATTTCCGATGGCATATTATTTTCCTCTTTGCTATTATTCTTTTTCTCATCTCTTCTGGCTCCCTCTTCCATCTGTTTCTTCCCAGTTCTCTTTCTGATGGTCAGTTCAGATTCTCTTCCCCCCTCCATTTCCCAGAAGCCAGTCTTGGAACTCCTGGGTACCTTTGTGTTACCAGCCCATTTTATTTGGATGCTCAAAGTTGATCCATGAGAGAGGGAGGAAGCTGACTCTCCAACACTAGTGTGGTGGCTGGGCCCTGTCCTTTTTGGATGAATTGAGCCTGCTGCGCTTCCAAAGAGGAGAGCCTGCTCAGTCTCAGACATCAGGCAGTGTATGCTATTTGTTACTCTGTAGGAGGAACATGTGGTCAGAGAGAGAGAAAAGGAACTGCAATAGGTGATTTCCATAATTATGCTTCCCAGTCCTTTGCAGTCACTCAACTGACATTGTGTCTTTCGCTGCCAAGTGCTTGCTCTCTCTCCCTGAACACACACGTGCGCACACACACACTCACATTGCACAATAAATGGATGCTAAAAATCCCCATTTTCTTTCCTGTGCAGCAGATGGCAGGTCTCAGCAACTGAGTGGAAATTAAGCTTTTGGATTTTCTAATAAATTTAAGCATCACACACACACAAAAAAAAGCCCGAGCTAATTTTGATTCTAATGTTAAATACCAGATGGCTTATCACTCTTAGAACCCAGCAGCTCTGTGAAAGTGCTCCATACCCAGGGCAAAATGGCCGGGAAGATGTCCCACAGAACACTTGCTTTGAATTTTTAACAACCAGTTGGATTCTTTAGTGAATACCATTTGTTAATAATATTGCATATGGTAATCTAGTAAACATCTCTTGTCAACTGAGTGTGTCCATCTACCTTGCCAGTTTGCTAATTACATCTGTTATACAACTAACTCACTTCAACAGATTGTTTTCCTCTATGTAAATACTCTCTCCACCAGAGCTGATTGCTACCTCTCCAGAATCCTAAGGTTTCATGAGTTGCTGTGGTCAAAAAAAAAAAAAAAGAATTCACATAGTAGACAGCCTTCTGAGATGATCCTCTTTGAACTTAGCTAGGTTGGTCCTCAGTCTGTCATCAGGACTATTCTTGAATTTGCAGTTTGATAAAATTTGTCACAGCTTTTCTTTCACTGGGATAGCCTTGGACATCTCAGGTTCACCCCCACATCATGGTGAAAAAAAGGAGTAGGACTTCAGCTATGGACCCCATAAACTACTTCTCACAATAGCCTTCGAACTTAGCCCTTTTTCAGTTTATGTGTTTGCGTTTTGCAGACACTGTCTTTAGCGGGGTGGGGGAAGTGGTGGGTGCTTTCTTTAGATATAAGCCCCTTTTCCCTTCCAGCATGTTATCAAGTCTTCCTGTTCTCATTTTTTCAAAGAATATTTTTTCACAGTCTCCTTTTGACCCAACCTCTTCGCAGAAAGTGAAATTTATTGTTTGAATCTCTTTCCTTAAACTATGTGTATACATATATATGCATATATATGTATATATCTTCTGATTTAAATATACCATACTTAGTATCATAGATATACTATAAAAAGGATCAATGAGACAATGTTGTCTACTATACCCATTTTACAGAGACGAAAACTGAGGCCCAGGCAGTAATGTGTCTTCACCCAAATGATGTATCAAAGGTAGGGTTTGAATGCAGGTGCTCTAAATCCAGAGGCTGAGTTTTTTCCACTGTACCGTGATGCTCCTTCAACATGGTCTGCATCAAATGCAGTAAAAGACACCTCTTGTCTCCCATGGAAGATGTTATTTGAGTAGGAATTCTTTTTAATTTTCTGTGGAATGAGGAGTCAAGAACTCCCTCCTGGACATGTCCAGCCATGCATGTTGTCTGCTGTCTCCACTCAACTCCACTGGGGTCATCATCTAAATTACCTTCCCGCCAGATAATCAGACTCTGCCCCTGGAACCTTCTTGGGCTTTGAAATACCAGATTTGATCTAATCTTGTTGGTTTCAGGCCTCCACAACTGTTCTTCCCAGACAGTTCCAGCCATTAACCCCATCTCTTTTCCAGTTCCCCATTGAGTATTATCTTTCCCTATTAGATTGTAAGCTACTTGAGGACAGTAATTGTCTGGCTTTTATTTACATCCTCAATACTTAGCACAGAGCTTGGCACATAGTAAGGGCTTTATTTATAAATGCTCTGTCTATCAATCTATGTCTAAAAGCATGAGATAGCAAAATGAGATTGCCAAGATAAATGTCCCCTAGTTCGAGAGAAAAAACTGAAATGAGAAAAATGTGAGAAATATGTATCAGAGATGAAGAGTTGCTCAAATAAATGACGCCCCAATCTTTTCTTCTTCATATTTCTAGGGACTTTCTAATCAATGTCAATGTTATCTCGCTCTTTGTTCTAAGCCCTTCCTGTTGTCACTTTGCTAAGTTCCCTTCTCTATCAAATTTTTTTTTTATCAATTTTTCATTTCTAGCCCTGGGCAAGGAAAAGGAAGGATTACTCGAAAAGAACTTCACCTGTTTCTTGGTAGTGTAGCCAAAAGAGTTCAGAATCTGGAGTTAGAAGCCCTGGACTGGAGTCTTGGCCCTATACCAGGGGTGGGGATCCTGCTCAACACCTTATAACCTAAGTGACTTTGGGCAAGTCATGTAAACATTCTGAACCTCAGTTTCCCAATGTGTAAAAGGAGACTAATAATACTTGTACTCCCTATCTCACAGGAGTGTTATGAAGTTCAAAAGGCTTTGTAAATCCCTAAATTCATGTGAGCTGTTATCATTCTATCTCCATCACAAAGTCACCCAGGGCCACCTTTAAGAGAATTACATGTAGACAAAACTGGGCAATTAGTAGGCTGTGAGTGTGCCTGTGAAATACATAAGCATGTTTATTTGTGACATGTTTTAATATTTGGGCATTTTATAGCCTGAAAAGACAGTCAGTCAAAAGTCTCGAGTTCACTTTTTGAGTTTCTAGAAGGGTTGTTTATCTTTTGAACTTCTATGACAAAGGCCAGCTTGCTTTTCTGTAGGGAGAAGAATTAAGAGAAGGCAATCAGAAGCTTGACCTGGAAGAAGAGATGTAAAGAATCATCTCCCTCTGGTTCTTCGGAGAGGTATGTTGAGAGGAGGTCCAGTCCAATACTCTCTGAGCCTAAGGGGCTGGGGGACACCACAACAACCCCCTCTCCTCAAAGGGCTCATCTGCTCTACAACCACACGTTCAGCCCAGACCATGTTTAATCATGGCCTCTAATGACAGCAGGTCTAAGTTCCTTTTTCTCACATTCTTTTGCTTATTAATATTTCATTCCAGCACCTCAGGGACAAATTAGCTAAAAATTAGGTTGTGACTCATTCTAGATCTCCCCAAAATGAAACAGGAGTAAAAAAAATACTCAATATAAAATGTAAATAATAATACTAATAGCTAACATTTTTTATAGCACTTACTACATGCCAGGCTAAGTATTTTACAATTACTATCTCATTTGATCTTTAAACAGCCCTGGGGAATAGAGACTATAATTAGCTTCAGATTTTTTACAGATGAAAAAACTGAGGCAGATAGAGGCTAAATGTCTTGCCCAGGGTCACGCAGCTAGTAAATGTTTGAGGCTGGATTTGAGCTTCCTGACTCCAGACCCAGTGCTCTATCCTTGTGTTACCTAGCTGACAGGAATTTCTATCCTGAAGCAAAAGAAATGCTAATGGACACAAAAGATTCGTAGTGCATATTGACAGAAAATTTGAAACAGGATTTAGTCATT